TCATTTTTGGTTCTGTAGCTTAATATATTATTGTGTAGAGAAGTCTTTAGCTACTTAACAAATCTAATGCTCCACAATCACTCTTCTGGGAAACATTTCTCTTTCTTCCAGTACTCCTTCAGGCTTTCCCTCATTTAATTTACAGTCAGCTGCTCCTTCACGTACACATTCATTTTGACCAGCCACTAAAACCCAAGGTTATGTTCAATGTAAACAGTATCTAAAGCTGAAAATAATGCTTTAGGTAGACTCTAGCATTTCAGTTCATGATGTCACACCAACTCCCCCAGAAGCTTTTCATAGATATTTAACAGCGAAAGAAAAAAGCCTGTGGGACTCTGAGCAAGACCCTGAGGGTAGATGAGACAGAAACAACCTGTAATGGTTTGCTCTACTCGATTTGAAAGGAAATACAAGGAACTACTAAAGGGGGGATTGCTATTCACTCCTACATTTTATTGAAAGGAAAAATAATTAAGAAACCCTACTGAATATCTCAGAAAAACACTTACTGAATTATTTCTTGATTCTGTACACAGAAACTCCTTGACTAAAGGAAAAAATGCTACCTTGGTCTGATCTATCTTGATGAAGACATAATAAGGAGATACTATTAGTGACATCAGCCAGCTCCTCACTTCTCATTGAGAAAACTAAATACTGGGGGCTTGTTTAATACTGGCCTTTTATTTTTGGTAGACTTTTTTCTGTGGCTTAAAACCAAGATAAATTCTTGTTTCTCAGTGATGATATTGACAGCCAGTTAGTAAAGGACCACCAGAGATCCAGCTAGAATCACAGGTAGCTGCCCTCACTGCTGAAATGGAGAAATAAATCCCCAAATGCTAGTTTTACAGGACTGGGTTTCATGTCGCAGATGGTTATCTTTTCTTATTCATGAAACTGGTTATTATCTATATTGGGCTGAATGAGAAAGACAAGAGTCAATCTACTACCAAGGACTTGCCTAGATAGTTCGTAAGACAAAAAAATGAGAGACATTATTCAAATTCTCAGTTTCTCAAGAGAGTATTTTGTCTGTAACAACTACATGCTTGGCAAAGACTTATCTGCAGGTTGGGATACCCCAGCATTTGAATTTGGGTCAGATTTTGCTTTTGACTGGGCATATGGTTAGAATGACACTGGAACAGAAATTAGAGTTAGAATTGCATATCAAAGAGTGCACTATGTCGGAATTTGTTGAAATATCTCACAGTCTAACATACCACATTCTTCACTGAAAAGGAAATTTTAACTGCCAATATTACACTAACCCCTAATTTTTACTATGAAGACGAGATGCAATCAGTACCACAATACACAAGCATCTGAATATTGTTTAACTGCTTAGTAATCAAACACATAACAATGTCACAATCTTGTTAAAAGATTCCACAATCCAATTTCCACAAAATATGAAGCTCACAGTCGCTTCTTTCCCACTATGTCTAATAACATAAACATATCTCCAATGCTGTACTTCTCCCTGTATGGCTATTTTTTTTTTTTAATATCTATACTGCAGGCCATAAACTCAGTTATTCTCTTCAGATCCTTTTCATTATAATCTGTGTAAAATCAGTATTACAGGATTGCTTCACAAAGAAAGCATGGACTGGACATCAACCAGAAATACAAATACCTCTTTTTAAAGTTTCTATTTGACCTTTTAACTCCCAGGCAAAAAAAATTGCTTGGCTAAGCTACTGTTTTGCATACACTACTTGTTAATATTGTGTCCCGTGCCAAAAAACTCATTTTTTTTTTAAAGGGAAAAGACCTATTGGTTCTGTCCCTCTGCTCAGACCTAAGGTTTTCTAAGCTTTAATCCATGCTTATAAAGAAATCAGCTATTTAAGAAGTCAGAACATGACATTTTTTCACAGATCAGATTTTTAGTTTTATCTCCAACGAATCTTGAATATAAGGCCTCTAGAGTTCTATTTTTATCAAGTTTATCCTTCTGCAATGAAATACACTTTCACACTTTCAGAGACTGAAGCTACAATGTTTATATTAGCAGAAGTATTTAGGGTAAAACTACTTTTAATAACACTAAGCTGTGAATCTATCACATTAGACTCTTTATACCACTAAAAAAAATAGAGAGAGAGCAAACATACACTGTATTATTCCAATAGCTGAGAAAAAATAAATATTTACTCTCATTAAAATACAGACAGAATTATTTCTATTGAAAACATTGGTCACTGCATCATTCTTCTCAAGAAAATACACAAAGCCTTAATTTATGCTTTTGAATATTATGAATGGTCCCTGTGTCATTTAAGTCAACAGTGCAAATCACATGCTTGAAATTAAATACATGCATAAAAGTTTTCATTATGGTCCTTACACAAGGGGGAAAAAAAAAGTTATATAATTATCACTCTAAATGCCCATTCTAGGCAAAAACTGACACCAATCTAATCACGTCTCAAATACATTTAAGCAGAATCATGTTGTTCTACAGTAAAAAGCAAACAAATTTTGCATTTTGGACCAAATTTGCCCTGGCTTTATGGCTGCAGATGCATTTACAGGTTCATTCCCTCAATGGGTTTTATTATCTGCTAATTAATCCAAATAAAGGTTATCTAAAATGTGCCTCCCCTAAAACTTGGGCCAATTCAGGAGGCTAACTACCCTCTGCACACATTTATTTTTGTAGTTTCTGCACAAATTCCTTTTCTCAGAACTGTTTCATTTCCCAGGCATTTCTCTGCCTCATCGTGCATTAATCAATTCCTTCTACCCTTCCTTCTTACTCAGCACAAAGCAAATCTGAAGGAGGAAACTGTCACTGTCAAAATTTTTAATCAAACTTCAAAGAAAAACAAAAAAATTGAACAACTTATTGCTTTTAGAGTCCTTCAGTTATGAAGTTATGACAACCTCTCCCAGCAAAAAGATCACCATGGTGCTAGGATTTCCAGATATTTATAAGCCAGTGTTCTTGAAAGGCTCTTAGAAGAAATGCAGTAATGTGTGCCTGAAATAATCAATCTCTTACAAGTGTTGGTCTCTGGATAGCATCTTATGTCTCTCAAGGCAACATGCAATCTTATGAGCAATATTACTTAGAATATGCAAAAGAGATGCAAGACTTTACCAAAATGACATTGACATCTTTAAAAGTTACCTCACCAAGTTACAGCAGGGCTCAGAATGCAGAAACTGACAACGTGCAAATAAAACGGCTCACTTCGTTTGAAAACTGGCAATGCACGGAGAACATCAGTATGTAATACCTTTCTTATTATTATTAATTTTAAAAATTATAATGTCAGAAGCAATTCTGTAAGACAGCCTTCTGCAACAATATCTCTAATAAAGTGACCTAAACATAATGCAGAAGCTCTACATTACTACCACTTTTCAAAAGTATAACAGGGACCAAGAACTCGACCCAGTAAGACTACCCTAACAACTCAAAAAACTGTTCTGTGACGGTAAATGAACGGGGGAAGGGGAGAGCAGAACCATGTTTTAGGCATTGGTTACATGCAGGTTTTAAGCATCTATTTAATTCAATGACTGGTGATTTGAATGGTACTTAGTCTCCAATAAAAACTAAACTTAAAGTACATAAAGAACATTTAAATACTGCTATCCAACTTCAACAGCAAGTAAAACCACCGGTATAATCAAATGGTTCTCAAAGCTAAAATATTTAATCTTTTAGGAGTCTACATGGCACAGCTATGTTTAGAGATCTGGACCTATAAGGACATTCTGCGAGCACACGCTATACTTCACTTCAATATGTACCACTGAACGGGAAGCACTCAAACTTTCCCACTTGGAAGTATTCTTATTCTCTTCTGCATTATTTAATTGATATTCTTGATGTTCCCCCCTCTGACCGTATTCCTTTTCAGAGTTACAGGGTGATCATTTTTTCTTTTTTCTTTAACGATTTCAGTCAACAACACAAAGGACAATTTAGGAGTGCCATGAGGCAATTTTTTTGCTAGAGGGAACAAAATGACTATACGTGTTCTAAAACATGTCAAAGTTAGGTGAGTAAGAAAGGTGTGGTCTGCTTCAGCTAGTTACAACATTTAGACTTTCAGAGCCAAGGCAGCTGCAATGCTAGTGGCACAACCAGCACTCCTACTTTTGGAAAAGCGCTAAGTTCTGCAAGGCTATGATGTGGTGTTACAGAGCTGCCATCCTGTTCAATGTTTGACTCCAACTATTCTCAGGTGTCCACATCTAGAAATATTTAATAATCCACAGCTTAGTTTTATTCTAAATAATAGCTGCATAATAAATCTACAGTAATTCAACTATACAAGAAACATAAAGGACAGAAGTGTAATTACTGTAAAAAATGACACTAAAAATATCACACAGTTTTACTGAAAACCATTGAGTATTTTATACAGACATATAATGGGTCTCCAGAGGAAATGTTCACCCACTTGAGTACAGAGTCTATAAGCAAGCATTTAATTTTCTTAAAGGCTGCTGCTGCCATGATTCCACAAAAGTATCTACTATAAATTAGCAGGAAGAATAAAATCACTGAAATTCTACATAAAACTGCAAATTTTTAATTTTAGAAGAGCAACTCATATTCAATATAGCTAAGCACTAAGTACCACTATAGTTAAAAGAGTTGAGAATATCCACAGCTTTGCAGATCAGAACCTAAGCTTTATTAGCAACTGTCTGCCTTCCATCACTTAGTTAAAACTGCAGAGTACAGGCGGGTGGGTCATGTTAACCTACAGCCCAGAGGCATTTTTTGTTCAGATAGAACTGAAGCATTGTTTTAAAAAAACAAGGAAAAAAAACAGTGTTCAATCAGCTGACCTTATCTTTGAAATCACAAACAAAGCAATCGCTTTAGACCTTCAAGACTAGCAATAAAGAAAGTTCTCAACATTGTGCACATGACAATAGCATTCATAATGTAACTTGATAAAGGGAGTTATAACTTTCTCACTCTTTTTATTTAGGGTTTAACTATTAAAAATCATGACACAAACCTGGGTCCACGTGTCTGGAGTTTCTTCTAATCCCATTCGTTCGTTTCTGCATAGCAAAAATACAGATCAAGAATATGAATAAACATGTTTTCATGTAAGCACAGTGCACTCCTTTCATTCCCACAATCTACTAGGCAAAGCCGGTTTTCTTAAGTTATTTCCCCTAACCATTACCACAATTATCTTTATCTTGCAGAAAGATCATACTTTGAATAATATTCTTTTTTTTCATGTATCCCATTTTTTCTGATACTAGGCTCAAAAGATTCCTTCCTAGTCCACAGATGGTTTATTCATCGGCATCTTTTGATACCAAGAACAAATTTATTTTTTAAGCATTTATTAACAGGATAGTGGAAAAATATGCAGTTTGGCATTATCTGCCCCAGATAATGTCCACAAACACAAAGGTATCAAAGGTGCTTGCGTTACTCTAATAAGGTAGAAACTTTCACTATTCCCACTTGGTACTTAAGGCAGCTAGAATTTCCTATGCAATTCTCAATTTCCTTATTTTCTGGGCAACTACTTAAACACACTTAGGAACTCACCTCCCTCTTTCTTTAAAATCTGGATGAACCATAGCTGTGTGAAATCAGGAACTCTAACAAAACAGAGCTTTTTCTTGAATTTTTAACATTTATTTTATACTCCAAGACACTTAATATGTATCCCTGAAAATTTCGATGTGAAAAAACGCATTTCTGTGAACTACTGATCTGCTTTTGCAAACTTGTTTTAACTGGTAGCTTGCATGAAGGTTCATGCATTTATTTATTTTTTAATCAAACCAAGCAGAGAAAAGCATGTTGCATAACAAAGGGAACAATTAGATTGCTCAGATTTATTTGCAGTTGATATAAGCTGATGCAGGACACACACCAAGGCAAGCCGGAAAGCAATAACCTGAGGCACAACCAAATTACTAAGCCCTATAGCAAGCTGGCAAAGTGAAAAGCTTGGTTTAAAAACAGCTTTCAAACTGTTGAGTCTTAGGACACACTCTCTCTGTACCTCGCAACTCTGAAAAAAGGATGCAAGTTTTGTTTCATCTGCAGCGGAAAGATCATAAATTCAAAACTACTGCTGCAATGAAGGTGATATTACTGAATAAGAACAAAAGGCTTAATTATACACTAGTTGTTTGTTTTGGGGGGGTTTTTTAAGTGGAGGCTGTATTGCTGATAAGATTGATGCAGAGTGGTAACTGCAGATTTGCACGAGGGAGGGAAGGGGCAGGAGTGGGAAAAGCAAGCATGAAGAAAGATACAGAAATGTTTAACTGAAATGAAAAGATACGATAATTCTGTGACAACGTAAGCTATATACACCAAAGGATCAGATTTTAAGGAAATAATTCTTGAGCTGTATAAAAACATTCTCAATACTTTTAAATATATTGCAGTACCAGTAGATTTTATTACATTAATAGTACGAAATCTAAATATGTGTTTTCCAAACTGACACTTCCTCATCTATGCTCAGGTTTCCTTCTGCACACAGAGAAATAAAGTAGGCACTTAAACTAGAGTCTTGGTAAAAATGAAGGCAATCCTGATGTTTTGGATCAACTCAATAATCAAATCAAATAGCAAATCAATAGCTCCAGAAAGGAAGCCATTTTTTTCTTCGCAAAAAGGATTTATGAATCAAGCAAGGGAGCGAGAAACCAAGGAGCAGGAGAGATTAGATACAACCAGTATACACATTTTTCTTCAGCCAGCCACAGTACAATCTAAACTTGTACACAAGGCCCAGTAAGCAATCTGTTCGTGGCTCCCCAGCGCTGCCCGCCAAAAAAAATACTGGGAGAGCATCAGACAAACAGACCACACTACAGTTTCCCTATTTTAGGGTGCCCTTAGCGGATGTTTGCAGGCAGACTGAAATGCCTGGCAGCACACGGCAGGAGGCACAGCTGAGGGAGCCTCGCCCTTCCCGCCAAGCCCCCTGGTGCCCGCTGCTTCGGCCTGCGCCTGCGGCCCACAGCCAAGGAGCTCACCCAAGGGTGACAGAACAGTCAAGGAGCTCACCCAAGGGTGACAGATGCCCCCACATCCAGCCCCTGCTGCCATCTGGGGTCACCAAAACAGCTCAAACATCAGAGAGCACAGAAATGCTCAGCCCTGCATGGGACTCCTCCCCGCACCAGTCATGTCAGCAGTACCGTCCTTCAGATTCCACTGCCCGTTTTAGTGGTAGCGTCAAACACGTACATGCTTAAGGAGAGAAGTAATATATACGCCCATACAGTGTTGATAACCAGTGTGTTATTTAGGCAGTTAAATTACCATAAACTTATGATCTAGAATAGATGATTTTAAGTGCTGCCTCTCTGTTTCGTTATAACTTGCAGACAAAACCCAACTGCCATGCCCTTCTGTACTTCAGTGGAAAGGCACCAGAAGCTGGCAAGAAAACAACCCAGGGTAGCTTGCAGCCTTCTTGGGCTGATGGCAAGGTACACAACATGCACCACAGTAGCTCCTCTGTACAGGGCCCATTTTACCATTCTCTCCAGATTATATCAACTCCATAACCACTGAATAGCTCTACAACTAAAGTCTTTTCACATGAAGAGGCAGATACTGCCCTGAAAATCCTTCATCATCCAGCAGCCTGGCAGGGCAGAGACTGGTATGCTAGCATGTTACACCAGCAGCACTTGCTAGCATTGGGGGGAAAAAAAAAAAAAAGAAAGAGAGAGAGAGAGAGAGAGAGAAAAGAAAATATTACTTTTAACTTTAATTGCCAGATTTGGTCTAGGAACAGTAAGGATCCAGACACCAGTTGAGAATGTTTTTTACCTGTAACTTGAAAAACACATCTCCAGCCCTTCCCCTGGGCATTAAGCCATATCAACTGAAAACTGACTCACACTTTGAACAGAATACTTCTATATTTAATTATTAATACCTTGATTCTTAAAAACTTTTATTTTCCACCTTTCTAAAGAAATGTGTTGTTAAATGCAGAAGAAAAACAAACCCGTTGCAAGAGCATGTGCACAAAGTAAATAAGGAGCTCTTATGTCACGAACAAAACAAACATTACATGCAAAGGAAAAAGAGTCCTTACCTCGTGTTTCAGGCTCCCATGTTCTGAAACATAAGTAAAAATTGGCATTATTGGCGATTGTAAATTGTACGCTTTTTATATAGCAATCTCAGTCTGTGCTGTGTAGCATTACAGAAAACCCTGCTGCCTTCCTTTGCTACCTGATACCTGCAGCCGCACCAGCAGTGGGGCTGTGCCAGGTCCTGTTGTGCAAACCCTGCTGTGCTCTCCTCCCCGCCCATCGTTCCGGTCCGCTAGTGGGGCTCCGTGCTGCCAGTCACACTGTGCTTGCCAGCACTGGCGTGGCAATCTGCTCCACTAAACTTAGTAAGCGCTTAGAACATTTCAAAAATACTTTATAAAGTTCTTCACTGCAAGTCGAGTTTACATCTTTTCTTGTCTCTGTGTTTCCACAGCATGCCAACATACGTCAAGATAAGATGTACACTTTTAGCTTCAAAATTTCCTGGTTTTTGTGTCTTTAAGTTCAATTCAGTATTGCATTACTATAGCACAAACTCTGAAGCCATTAGTGTTTTATTTGCCACTTTTACTATTAATTTTCTTGTACTATTTAAACGTGAGAAGAAAAAGATGTAGTCCTGTGGGAAATCAGAAGGACTGCATCAAGACAAAAACATTTTTGCACGCACACACCACCACACATCACAAAAAAACCACAAAAGATTATTTTTTTTTTGCATTTTTTCTTTGAAACTCTAATCTGATAATAGGCATTTGGGTGTACTCTAGATTTTAGTTCAGTGCCTTATCAAAGCACACAGAGCCGTATTTACCTATGTGCGCTCTCTAGGACTGCACACACTGTTGAGGCAAAGCACAAACTGCACATGCTCGGTCTGCACTTTATCACATTTGAAAACTTTTACTGTAATATCTTATAAACACTAAGTCATATTCACAGTAAATCAACTGAAAACATTTAACTGCAAGTAGATTTTGTTCAGCTAAAAAAAAAATTACATTAAACACTCAAGTGTGGGAAAAAACATCTTTGGCTTTCTAGCCTTTTATGCAAAGACGATAAGGCATGCTGAGACCAAGCACCCAGCTGAGGACTGCGGGTCGGGGAGGCACAGCCTGTTTACCACTGGCAGAGCTCTCTTCTCACGTACGCTTCCACTGTTTCCTCTCTCACACAGTGCGCCAAAGAGACACATCAACTTGTCATCCACAGAAAACACTTGTATGATTATAACCTTTCCAAAAGTATTAATTTGCATTTGTACAGTGAGCAAAGAGAAGAAAAATAAGCCTGCCCCAAAGGAGATGCAGGTAGACTACTGAGGTTTTCTAAGGAGCCTGAGGGAATTAGTTGCTTAACTGTTGCTGAAATGCAATAAAGTTTTGGTATTTACTTTTGCAATTTTATACACCTTTTAGAATTTTTTGCCAAAATCTGAATAAAATCACATTTTTCAGTGTTTCATCTCAGCATTATAAATTACTTCAAATGAAGGGAAGTCATTTAGGTAAGTACTTTGGGGGGAGGGGTTGGCAAGGCATTGTGTGTAAAACTTCAAATTCAGACTTGGGGTTTTTCTTTTTTTAAATGGCCTATATTTAGTCCTGCAGATCTATTACTAAAAAATTGAAACTAAAATGTCATTCTATCCTCCAGTTGGAATGAATGAATCTGATTTTTAATGACTGCTGTTGAATATTATTTTTACCTTTAGGAAATATCCCAAACCCAACTAGAAGAATGAGTTCCATTTGGTTATGACAAGACTTTTTGTAATAATTAAGAGACTCATTAATTAACTATCAATAATTGGATTTTTTTAAAAAAAATCACTACACACGAAGGTAAGGAATACTCCTGATAATTTCCATAAAATTAATTTCATTAAGATAGATATGGAGATCAGATTAAACAGTTCAAAACTTTGCCAACACTGACAGACCAAAACATCATTTGTGATTTCAGTATTACCATTTCAGGAATAGAAAAACATCCAGTATATATATTTCCCCATAACAGCCTATTCAAAAAATAAGACTTATACCTGTGTTATTTCATTACAGTTTAAAAATTCCTGAATTATAGAATATTCTGTATTGAATTATGTGCTTCCTCATGAGAGCGCTTTTTTCCAGATGTGACACAAGAGCAGAAAAGCCTAATTTGTATTTATTTATTTTTTAGAAAAAATAAATTAATGTCTGAGGATATCCACCAGCAGATATTTTACACCATTTTAATTCAAGTTCCTGCTCATCATCAATGTGCCAATGAAATTATCAAGTGAGTGAGTTCTCACACAGCAAGATACTTTTACTGCCATAGTTCAGTGCAATTTTTAGGGTTTTTTTGTTTATTGGCCATGATACCACTGGGTCATATTTTGATAATTATATTTTACTGCAACAGCAACAGGAGCGGCAGCTGGCCTCAATAAGTGAGGGAGCACAGACTGGAAAATGGGAATAAGCTGCTCTTCAGGGATGCAACAGAGCAGCTGGATTTACATGCTAACCAAATTGAGAGTAAATAAAAAGGATATGGAGAAAACTACTCACCTTCCTATTTTAAAAGAAAATTTAAAATGTTTAAAATGCTGGAACTATAAAGTAAGCCACTTTGAAGGAGCTGTGGGACTACCTGCTCCTTTCCACTCATTTAGCCAGTCATTGCATGATCAGAAGAAAAGGAAATTGTAACCTAGAAGTACCATAGTGTAGGACTCCACACAAAATATCAAGCCCCCAAGTGACTTTTGTTCAGGTTGAGCAAGGATGGTTAGTTAAACAATACAGCTCCAACTGTGATGCAGTTAAATAAAAAGCAGCGTAACTCCAATGAACATTCTGCGATTTGAGCATTTACTTGTCAATGCTGTTGACATGGTAGGTTTGCAGGAGAGTCAGCAATTTTGCAACTATTGATCAAGCCAGCAAAAAGGTACACAGTGAAAGGTACTGGTTTCTTTTTAGATGTCAAAAACATGTTTTTATGAACAATCTCTCATGTGCTGTAGCAAGCAATTATTACATAAACAGCATTGACTATATTATTGGATATACACATTACCATACAAAAGCAACTCTAAACTTAACCCACTTATATGGTAGAATTTTCTTTCTAGTTCATCACAGCATTAAAGAAACTTCTTTTTTGCTCAAGGAAATGTAGTACTTTCTCAAATGGAATTATCTGAAGAAGAAAGGAATCATCCATAAGTTAACTAAAAATTACTATAAAAATGCCCAGTTAATGTTTTTCTAATCCATTTATGCCCTGATGAGACATGCTTCTAACATTCCCTGGGAACAGCAATATAAAGAAGAAAATTTTGTGGGTTTGGCATTGTAGTTAAAATATTCAAAACATTTTCAAATTCTAAAACCATTATTGGAGGTTCATCTAACTGAAATCTTCAATAGTTTGTGGAACCAGCAAACATTTGCCTGAGAATAGTTAATTCAATATAATTGGACAGACTTGGAAAAATTCCAGTTTGGCTATAGAAAATGGATTGTTAATTCTGCTGGGTTAGACTAGGAAACAGACTGGAGCTCTGCAGTGTGTGTTGGGCAGAGTGATACTGCAGAAACTACAAGGGCCACACAACAAACTGTACAATTAAAAAGGGAATAATGAGAGAGACAGCTTCTCCCTTTGTTGACTAAAGGTGTGTCTTATGCTCATTTACCAAAGTTCCTACTCTTAATCCTTCCCAAATATAAACCCTTCCAACTAGTGCAAGAGCACCACCAGATAAGCAGAATTGTCTTCTGTCTTGAAACAAGGCACAGGAGTGCAGTTGAGAAGCCACAAGTGGTAGAAAGTGAAGAGGAAACCTCCATGTCAGTCATCACAGAAAAGGACAAAACTTATGCCCTTAAAAATGTCCCTGTCAGAAACACATGCAACCATTTTGTAATCCTTGTGTTCAAGGATTTCATAAGGTCATGTGCACAATCAGACCTGAAGAAGTTCATCAGAATGTTAAGATTTCAAGGCACAGAAAAACTGAAGTGATAGGCCATATAAGTAAAATATGTGAAAATGCAGAGGACTACTTGAGCATGTGCAGGGCAGCATTTCAGGGGAAAAAAGTTAAATCAATAGTGACAGAAATGAGCAGAGAAGACTTCAACCAGCACTGCTGATTTAGAGCATCAAGAGCAGGAATAATAACAGAGAAAAACAAGGGCTAAATGCAGACATTTTGTTATATTTATTAATTCAGCTGATTAACTCTGCATCTTTTATTGCTGCAGCTTCTGCAGTCTGTTGAACTGGCCTTCTTTGAAGCAAAACATCTGAAGAGCTGGCATATGTTTGCGTACAAGGCATAGCATGACAACACAGTGGTTTATCTTTAGATTTTGTAAATGTTTGTCTCATAAGTGTATCATCTAAATCTGACACTTATTAGATTTGTCATTTTAAAGTTTTCATCTGTCTTTGGATGTGTCTTTTGAATTTTCACAAACTGACTTGGAATTAAATACAAAAAGATATAACCCACTCAGAGAGGTTCTAAGCATCATTTCAGAAAGGCTAGCAAAACCATCTGCTCAGTGGTCTAAGAAGAAAACAAAAACTTAAACTGTACAGAAACAGAAAATGCTGAGAAAAATTCAAATGCCTTTAAGAAACCTCATGGTATGTTCTCATTGCAGTGTTTTGACTTCTGATGGCCTCTTTTCAAATAGAAAAGAAATAGCAGAGGTCTACACAATGGGAAGGAAAACTATTTGAGGCATAGAAAAAGTTCCACTGACAAAGAGATAATTAGAAAAAATAAGACTATTCAAACGCCAAAAAGTCACACGTTAAATTTAAAAAGGTAAAGAGGTCAAACGAAACCAGGATAAGATGTGCAACCTACAACCATTAAAAAAAAAAGCGCCAAACAAAAACTTTACAGAACTTATTGTTCCAAAACTTCTGAAACACAGATATTTGCATCAACAAATATAGGGAAGATATGCAAAAGCATTAAAGAGTTGTAAAAAAAATTATAGAATACCAAAGAGAGAAAAAGAAAATTTAACAGAATTAAGAAAGCAGCATCATCCCTGGGCATTGCCTACAACATAGAGGATTTGCACTTTCCAGTGAAGCATCTGGAATCAATCATCAGCAAAATGACGGCACGCCAGACTAAACAGACCACACATATATCATGGGATAGCTTTTCCCCCAATGTCCGTGGCTGTAAGTAATATTACATGACTGGGGAACAATAATGCTCAGTTTCCTAAAAGGATGATTGTGCTTCATGTCCATCATATCCTGTGAAAAAGGCTGTAATAGTCCCCTAGAAACAAAAGAAATGCATAGCAATACAATAAATGTTCCAGGCATTTTGCTACTATTGAGGCATTCCAGCTATGCTCCACAATTTCTTATCTAATAGCACTCAGACTACTGCTAATTTCCCACAGGAGTAGCAAATGACACCACTAGAAAAATTAAATGTATCATAAATTAATTTCTCTAAAAAGAAAAATCAAAAGGAAAAACTTCAAAATTAAAACTATGTTAGAATTTTGTGCACATAGAGCGTACTTTTTCCCACAAAATGCAGTAAAAATGTTGAATTTTACATGATATCTTTGTGTCTGCATTTCTTTAATAACATTTCATAACTTAGCAGGCATGGCAGTTAACTTAAGGGAGACCACATTTTTCAGCAAAGCTCTGGAAAAGTGAAAACAGAGTTTCAAAAAATTATTCAAACTTAAGCTGCACAAACCAGTATTTAAAAGAGTCTGTATTGTCCCATCCCTTTCTGGACCATACAAGGAAGCAGGCACTGGTAAAGCTCCTCCTCAAACCTTTCCAGCGCACGTTATGAATGGACAGCACTGCCCAATCAACACTTCTTTCTTTAAAAAGGCAAATAAGATTAAAAATCATAGAATATGTTGGTTTGGAAGGGACCCTTAAAGTCATCTAGTCCAACCCCCTGCTTACTACAGGGACATCTTTAACTAGATCAGGTTGCTCAGAGCCCCCATCAAGCCTGACCTTGAAGGTCCCCAGGGATGGGGCCTCCACCACCTCACTGAGCAACCTGTTCCAGTGTTTCACCACCCTCATAGTGAAGAACTTCTTCCTAATGTCTAATCTAAATCTATCCTGCTCTAGTTTAAAACCATTGCCCCTTGTCCTATTGCTACACTCCCTTGTAAACAGTATGGAAGAGATTGAGTGTGGAAAAATGGAAAACAGTATGGAGAAATCTCAAGATTTCCCTTCCTACTTATTGGTCAAAATGCCTCATCAAGGTGCAGAGGACATTTTCAGCACAGCAGGCAAATCCATTTGTCCTTTCCATACTCATTCTTTCCTCAAGTGAGGGTGAGCACGGCAAGAACTGTAATGTAGAGCTTGTTTCTGCAGCCATGAGCTACTCTCAGAGCATGCTGTAAGGAAGCCACAGCCTAGCTCCTCTTGTCATTCTGCCTCATAAGCAGGTGAAAGACACACAGCTCTTCTACCTTGTACTAGAGCTACAGAAATCTGAGAGCCTTTGCATAGAAGAAAAATAAACAGAAAAGAGAAAGATAAGTTTGAAGAGAGGACAGAATGTAAGCCGAATGTAAGCTAAACACATAGCACAAAACAGTATCTTAGCAATCCAGTTGCTTCCAATTTCACTAAAGAAAAGCTCAGTACAGCATCATTTTACAGAAATCAGGGCAATTATTTAAATTGAAATCCAAAATAAAATTCTGCTCCTTTGAAGTTGTAAAACGTTAATTTATTCCACTTACAAAGAGGCAGAAATGTGAATTCTTTTTTTCTTTATTTTGTTCCCTCTAGCAAGCGCACAGCATTATTTAAGTATATATATATGCAGGAAAACTACAAGAAATCAGACCTTGTGTTATCTAGGCATTTATGGTCATTCTTACTGATACACTGCCCCATGTGTGTCCACAGATCTTTACAAAGGAATAGAAAGACAAGCTCTGCTTCCTGGGGTGCCAGCTATCCAATTAAAATAAAAAACTACAAACGCAATTAAAACAGAAGGTACAAAAGAAAGAAAAAAAATAGAAGTAGAGGTGGTTTATACCACAGAAGATAGCTATCCTGTGAAGAACAGTATGTGTTTGTTTTCCCACTCTATTAATGTAAAAGTAACAGTTTTAAAAATTTAATTTTAATATAATTTTAAATATTTATTTTCTTTAGACATCTGTAGGAGGTTCTATGAAAAACCTGTGTTCCAAAAAGGATTTCAGTGAAAAATACTGTGATTGCTTGGATGGTTTTCAGATCTACAAAAGATTAGTTTTAAAAACTCCAGACTTGGAGGATTGCATGGAAGATCTTCAATACAGGAAAGCAACTGAAAAAAAGTTCACTGACTGCAGCAGAAGTCAGTACCTGCCATACTGATGATTTCATAAAGAATGAAGCAGGCAAGTAGCCCAGTGAGCCAAAAGACAAGTAGAAGTCAAGAAGTCAAGAAACAGAAACAATGACAGAAACAAGCTCACAGGATTTTGAAACAAAAAGCTAGAACCAAAATGTGGAAAGCAGCAGCTTAGTGAAGAGCAATGGATGTAACTCATCCAATGGATGTAATGTCATAATGTAATTCAAGGAGTGGAGAGAGATTGTGTCTTCAACAGCATTTTGCAAAGCTTGTAGATAGAAATGCCAAAAAGGAAATAACCCAATGGAGGAGGCTGCTGTAGCTTAATGTGAGACATAAGAAACTTCACAAACTATTATAAAATAATTCTGGAAAGGAATGTGCAAGTTTTAGAGAAGTGAGAAGGACAATTAATTAGAAACTTCCCCAATGTATACAACTATGCTTTCCAGAAATCATCATGTGGTTCCTATGGCTTCTCTCTTTAAAACACATTCAAACAACACTAACTCAAATGTATTTATGAGGAGGGAAATTCAGGGGTGAGGAGGTATGTTTTTGTCAGCTGTTGTGTGTCCCCCACCCCCAATCAGCACCAAATCATCTCTAGAAAGAATAGTTAAGCACCTGAACAGAGAGAAGAGTCAAAATGGCACTACGGTTACGTGGCTAACTGGCTGGAGTGTAACAAACTCTCTGCCACCAACTGAACAGGAACAGGGAAGGGAAAGGGGGCAAATGATGAGATCTGACATTTGGCATTAACAGTGGGAGATCCAGAAGATGTCGGAGAGAATTACATATACAATACTGAGTAGAAAGACAAGAGGTCAAATTTGGAGTCATCTGAGAGAGACCAAATCATAGCTGAAGTCAAAAGAGTCCTTAAGGTCCCAAAGAGCAGAGGAAAACCAGGGGAAGTGCAAAGTGAATGGCCAGGGTAGAAACTTACAGAGTATAGCAAATGACTATACGAAGAGGAAAAAATGGTCCCTAGATGCAGGAAAGTAGAGAGCCATCAATCACCTTTTTGTGAATATTGTGAGTGGACAGAAACCATGGAAACTGAAGAGATGAAAGAGGAAGCTGAGGCAACACAAACAAACAGCTTTAGTTGCTGAGAGGAAGAGATGAAAATTGACATAGACATAAAGAGAGGACCACAAGGATGACAGATGATATGCCACACAGTAGGTGTTGCTTGTGAGCAGTCTATGATTAAAATGAGAGCAATTCCTTGTTGTATACGACATTGACGAAGAAATTTGGTTTGACCTATAACAGTTTTCTCCTGTTTTCAAACATTTCAATTTAGTAGCAATAAAAATCCCTACGAATTCTAAATGCAATTCTAATTGTGCTTATAAATGGTAGATTCACAAGTATGTATGTTACAATAAACACAAATTAGAGGTAAATTAAACCTTAATTATATCTAGCAAGTTTTATGTCCCAATTAAAAATGGTATTCTAACAATAAAAATTACTTACCACCTGAATTAGCTCTGCCACAGTTGTCTAATCTTCCTAAACATTCTTTGTGTGCTCCAGCTCCACACTTAGAACATAAATAGCCTTGATAAAATGTTCCCCTGTAAAATAAAATCAGGTAGTGATACATTAGAGGTGATAAATTCCATGCATAAAGGAAATGAGAGACATGGCAGAAGGTATTAGAAGTCATTTGCTGTTCTGCATAATGATAGTCCTTAAAGGCTCAAGAAAAAAGTTACAACTGACAAGCAGCTCATCTGCTTTTGGTCACTGCTAGCCACCTAAAAACAACATAGCCAGACAGTTCTTCTGGGCTACTAGTTAGAATAACAATCTCCATTTCAATTTAGCCCAAAGCAACTGTGGCACAGTACACATGAAATCGTACCATTATGTATCTATCCTACTATAGATCTGCACTTTGTTTCATCTCAATGGGATTTTGCCTAGGCACCATGAAGAATAAGATCCATTTCAAGAGAACTGTAAGTGTGAATATAAATTTAAGCATTAGGAGTTTATAGGCTATACAGCAAGTACTCTTGACTTTAAATGTGTTCATTTAAAAAAAAAAAAAAAAATCAATAACCCGGTACGCTTTAGTTAATATTCAGAGCTGCTAAATAAGGAGTCACTTTTCCTACTCTGAATGTTCTCCAATTCCCCTTAGTGAATTGGAATCTGAATTTGAGTCTGAGGAAATGGATTTATTTTCAGATTTGTGCACAGCTTTTCTCTTAGGTACGATTCACTGAATGGCTAACAGGGAAACAGTTTTTTTACATATGCCTCTGAGCAATTATATGAGTTCCATCTACTGATGTATCTGCTTACTCTTTACAGTAGACTTGTCTGTCTCCAAGATTATCCTGACCAGCTTGAAGTGATTATGCACACTAGTCTAATGTGACACCTTCAGCTTCAAAGGAAAATCAGGTGTCTCATATGGAACACAGGATTGAGCAAGTTAAACCTGAATGAAATGTACAGTAATTGTTATTTACTACAGCAATTTCTTGACTGTTGGTGATGAAATATTTTTTAAATTAAATTCAGATGCTCAGTATTTTGAGGTACTGGAATACACAAACTTAAAGACAAATAAGTAAAAAATATAAATATATTTTAATGCAGTCTTTCATTTTTATTTCTTTCCTTATTGCTACATAGGAATGCAAGATCCTCCAGATAAAACTACAGAACACAAGATTATCCTTCACTACAGATGTTTGTAAGACCAGGATTTTATTCCCACTTAAAGACCAGGTAATAAGGTTCAGGGTTGGTTTTGTTGGTTTTTTTCAAGTATTTACACATTAGCTTATGTTTGAAGCTTAAAATGATAATTCATTTTAAAAAAGAGGCTTAAGCACTTTATAAGTCCAGTAGGCTTTCATTACAACTTTGATATCCAGGGACATGTCTATGTACCACACAGTAGCACTTGGGGATACCCAAACAAGCAAATTTCCATGCCTATGCAGAACAATGCAGCAGCAGCAAGCAGGCTGTGTCCTGAAAGCAAGACAGCCGTTTCTCAGCAACAGCAGTCAGTGCAGTAACAGAACACAATGACTCGATTGTACTGCTTCAAACTCAGAAATCAGTCCTGCCATCTCCAAGGTCAGGATGTCTGCACCACTCTTCATAGTCACTTAGACCTTATCGCATCGGAAAAAAAAAAAAAAACCTCTGAAAATCCAGGTCAGTCTAACTGTTCAGGAAAAAGGTTGCTAAAGGAAGAAAAAAAAAAAGAGGTCCATGACAGGGTAGAACATACCTGAGGTTATTTTATTGCATATGCCTGTGCTTACCAAAAGCACTACCCATTCTTCAAATGCCCTTTCTAAAATGCTGTGGCTACATTTTTCAAAACATCAACAGCAAGCAGCATGAGCACCTGAACTGGACAATGTTTACAAAGCTTACATCTCCAACTTACACTATGAAATTTAGGTTAAATACTTAATTCTACACCATTAGACATTTGATATTTACAAAAAAACAAGGTAACTCCTAAAAGGTAACTTAAATAATGACTGATGTGCAAGCATGCATGTGTCAGAGGAAAGAGGCAGAAAACATGGAGTTCCTTAGCTTAAGTTCGCCTTACAAATCCTTGTTTATGAAAGCATTACTCGTCTGCTAGCATTTTTTATTTAGCTTAGCAACAGCTATCTTGAATTTGTCTACATATCTCTGGTTCAGAAATTCTTGTTAATGCCTCACAGTTGTTTTCTGTCTCACAAAGCAATCTCCTCATATCAAACATTTATGAGCATTGTCATCGTCTGATTTTCTGAAAAAACATTCCATCTGTTCTTGTGACTGGCAGTCTACAGCAACGGGACCTGCGGAACAGCCACAGTAGTCAAAACTGTACAAAAATTGTTGTCATTTACTCTTGCATAAACAGTCCTCTATTAAATAGAGCAATTTTCATAAAAGAATCATGATAAAGCAACTTTCTAATAAATGAGAATCTTGAGGTTTTGAGCTTTTAATAGCACTACCGCTAATATTTGGAAATTTGATTATAAAAATTGCTAATACAACAGGAAATACCACATGACTTCATGGCATGTCTGTCTGCCAGGTAATCATCTATTTCCACATACTACTTTGACCCAGATAATTCATGGGGGAAGAGGGAGGGTGGTTTAGGGCGCAGGGAACACAAACTTTAAAGTCTTACCTCAGAAGCATCTGACAGACTTTGCATGACGTCACGCGACTGAAAGTGTGCATTTTGAACTCATGAAAGCTTGTATCTGCATAGTCTGGACGTATGTTGGACCTAAAAACAAAAAAATTTTTGAAAGTCTACTTTAAACCAAAGAAACCTAGAACATAATGTTCATGGCAGGAAATCTGAATCCATGAACACCTAGTTTTATTTACACTTTAATGTTTTGTGAACCAGAAATACGGACTTTACCACACACCTTGAAAAGAAATCTGAATTATGATACTATGCAGACCTGGTCCTTAAAATACATCCTGTAACTACCTTAGCTGTCACAATAACTAGAAAACTATACATCAAAACTTCATCTGGTTTTTATTCATGTTTAAGTAACTAGGATCATTTTATGGACCTAAGGAACACTCACTTTTTAATTCTTAAATATTTGGTTGTACAAGGAAGAGCAGCTTAATACTGAGAACCAGCACATTTGAAAACATGAGCAACAAATTTGGGACAGTTAGGTCACAATTACGCAGTAATACACTGGATCACTGCTAAGATGGCACAATTGGCAGACTTATTTCCAAAGATCAGATTTGTATATGAATCACTGGTCCATTACTGAACCTGTGTTTTGTTTATCCTCCTTACTGATGTCTTTTAACAGCTGGAGTATAATTTAAAAATAACCCACTCATCATTTTTATGCACTGGTGACTGTTTGCAGGTTTATTTAAATTTTATGAAGTAATCCATTCAACTTTTTCTGTCATCTTCTCTATTTCCATGACTCACGTGAGAACAGGAATTTTCAAGTGTTTTTTCTTTGTTTTGTTTTGTGGTGGGGTTTTTTGGGTGTTTTTTGGGGGGTTGGTTTTTGGGTTTTTTTTAAATGCAATATCATCCCCAAAACTAGCTTAACACTGTCAAAACCAGTAACACTGAAATGTTAGGTGCATAATTTAATATTAAGCTAGACTATATCAGACAAGAAAATATATATATATAGTAAGACTTAATGTATTTTTTTATACTATTTATATTGAAATGCTTAGGAGTCCAAACATTTCTGGAATTTTTCTAGCAAAAACACAGGAATGCAGGATGCATAGGAATTTAAAAAATCCTGAAGGTAAGAACACAAGAATCTACAACACTCAAAAGACCAGAAGCTTCTTCAACACACAAAATTACAAATTAATTCATTAAACTTGATGATACTTACGAGATAAGTTTCAATTTTATGTATTGTAAGTAAGTTCTAGACTAAAACATAGACCAGACACAAATTGCAATGAAACATAAATATAGATAACTGTGCAAGCATCAATCTCTCCAGGACTGAATGAAAAGGCTTATGAAAAAAACATTCCAAGAATCTGTTTAAGTTCCTAGTGTCAGAAAGGCCAGTCTTCTAATCTGCCTGCTGAAAATCAACGTGTTGGAAATGAAACTGCACTCAAAAAGCAAATAGGATTTTGCTCTTACGCTTGAGAATAACCTTACACCCAGTACTGTTTTAACTAGCTCACTAGTGTCTCTTTCTGCTGTGATCAAGATGCCCATGCCACAGCTCTGTCTAATTAAAACAGGCATGGATACTACCCATTCACAGCTGGAAAGTACAGGTATCAGGATAAAATTAATCTCAAAGAAGTAAAGAACTTTCTAAACCAGAACCACCACGTATTATTTTTGGGTTGCAAGCTCTGCAGAGCAAGGCCTGTATTTCACAACATTTCACAACAAGGTGCTGCTAAAACCTCTTAGGCTACACAGTTTAACATCCTGAAAATTCCCTTAGAGCAAGTTACAGTACTTACACTCCCAACAAAAGCTCCTTTTTGTTGATCATTTGGTTCAGACAGCTTGTAAAACCATGTCAAAAGTATCAGCTGAAGGTGTAGCAACTCATCAGATTTTAAAGCATATCAAATTAATCGTAACCACTTGATAATTTTTCAAGAACAAACTAAAGAAAAAAATTGATTCATTCAATAATAACAGGATCAATCTTCAAAAATAATAAGTATAGTGGATGAAAAAAAAATTACAGCCTCATACAGGCATTTGTTGAACACAAGCATGTGACTCTATAACTTCCTTTCATATGTAAAAATTCTCTTCCATTCTTCTCTCGGGCTATCTTCCACAAAGACTGAAACTCAAGAACTACTGAAAACATACCTCTTCTTAACAGAACAAAGATGATACACTGTGTTCATTCTTCTTTATATTAAAAGTAGTATTTGGGTTCCTTTATATTAGAAAGCCATTCTGTTTCATTTTATATTCCTTAACAGAGAAAGTTATTCTTGAGAGGAAAAAAAGGGTAGTGCTAAAAAGGCAAAGAATGAGGCTGTTGCCTCACAGAATAGCTGTCACAAGGCCCCTCCACTTCCCTTCAGCATAAGTTGTTTTATTGCACCTGTGGGCTAAACTATTGAATTATAAAGTCCTAAACAAGACAGAATATTCATCTAGATAAACTTACAACTTTTGCTCTCTACTGGATGCAAAAATTTGTATACATGTGTCCTACTTGCATAAGTAAAGGAATGCAAAGCTGAAAATACATAATACAATACAACCTATGAAATAAAATACTAACTTTTGTTTATCTTGCCCACTATTACCTACAGGAGGACTTAGTTTGATTCCAAGTGCTACTCAGTTCTGAAGGATCATAAAAATGTATTATGAAGAGAGAATCCCTTGGTTTCTTTATACCCCACCAGGTTTTAGCTTAGTGATTGCAAGATTCCAACGATTACTTCAATAAACTCTTTATCTAAAAACCTGTTCTTTCTTCACCAGCCACACATTTTTCATACTCCCTATCAATTTACTACCATCTAACTTCATGTATTAACTTTTCTGTTAAGGCCAAGCTAACACAAAGATCTTCTAAAGTAACTTTTAAAAAAAGACATGAGCCTGAGTAGCTCTTTTAGCAACACAGCAACTACTCATAAACCAAAAGGACCTTTTAAATTTTTGCTAGTCCTTCCCTCCACCACTCAAAAGATACCATTTTTCCCTTTTTATCCCTAAAGCCACATCACCAAGAAGGAAAAACCTAAAAATTCCTAACAACAAAAGTTTAGTGAATCAAGGGATATGCTACTCTAAGTACATCACCCATAGATTAAATTAATCTGGGTGGGACTAAAGCCTCAGCATATTATAGAGGATCCTGTGCAAAACGAGCAGAAATCAACAAAAGAAAAAAACCTAACCTGATGCTCAGTCATTCTTTCTGTGCAGACTTAGAAGATGCTTCCAAGCAGTTGCCACAAAATGAACGATGCCATTGCATTCAGTGAGAAGAGCAAAATTCAGGTCTTTTTTGTCTCTCCCTTCCTGTTTTTAATCACTCATCCTAACTGTCTCAGATTTAAAGTTAAACAGGAATAGGAAAATGTGTTTTATTTCAGTTTATACATCAACAGAATATATTCTCAAATCTGAGAGTCTGTCACATATCAGGATTTTACCCATTATCTCATGATCCTCTTAATAAAGAAATACTCAATTTCAAAGATTAGTGTTTATATACATTGTTATCAATTGATTCAGGTTAGACAAGAAGACATTTCATCACTGCTCAAAAAAATTCTAATTTATTATTCCAATTTATTTTCAGTTGTCACTATTATGATAAAGGCGGAAGAACACTGCAAAATAAGAAATAATATCCTTACTGTGAATACTTCACTGTGAAGCACAGTACAGAAAGATAGTTAATGATACAACAAACCAGAAAAAGTTGCAACAAAAACTAAAAGGTGTATTATCTACTGTAAATGCAGAGGTGGAATAAAGAAAGCTTTGTAGAAAAACGTATATTGCAATGCTACCTGTGGACAGGAAGACTCTTGCACATTCTAGTACCTGAGCAGTCATGCTGCATTAGGGTAAATCTGGTTCTGTAGTCACATAACACATCGCATCAGAAAAGTCTGAGATAATCTGAGATGATGCACTACAGCACTATACATCAAGTAGCAAGTCTTTTAACAGAAAGTCTGAAAAGTAATGCACCTAAGGGTTTGGTGTTTTAGTTTTCAATATATTGCTTTTCAACAAATCAAAAATAATGCAAAAATCAAGAATTTTCAACTCTTCTGTGACTGTCAAAGCCCACATACCACAAGGACCATAGATTTTCTTTTTCCCACAAAATCTCACACTGAATAAAAATCAGTATTTTTTGAGTTTTTAAATACAGTAAATAAAGCTTCAATGGAAGAACAGCAGTCACAACATGGCATACAACTTTTCGTAATCATGTCCAACCATAAAGAAGCTCTTTCAGTTACAGCATTTTACAGCCTTACACTGATACCCAGAGAACACAGAGACCAGAGCTGCCTCAACACAGTGAAGAGCACAATTCATCCTTCTCAAATCTTATTTTCCCTTCTGCTTCCCAACCTGTGGGTGTGTTCCAAGATATAGGGGGGGGGAAATGAATGTTAGGTCAAAGATTAATTTTAAGCTTAATACTAAGTATATTCTCTTCTTCAGAAGAAAGATTTCTTGACAGGGAAAAGAAAAAAAAAATAACAGGAGCCCGGACACAATTGTTATAAAAATTCAAAATCTAATTTAGGACACAAACTGGGTTCCTTCCTCATCACAGTAGAACAGTCACCAGTCGAGCTCTCTCACAGGCTCCTCATTCCTCTTTCCACAACAACTTCTACTGTGGGGTGCCCCAGGCTCACCGCAAATGAAATGTTTTATCCATTTCCACTGTCAAACAATCTTAAGGACTGTCCAGAGCAGAAAGTCACCCATACCAGGAATACTTAATCTAAGGTAAATCATGACAGAGAACATGTTCCTCGTTTTATGGTAAAACTCTCTCTTATTTTTACAAGCCATGTGGGGAGTCAAAAGTAGTTTCCCTTCCTCTCTTCTACTTTTTCCTCACGCTGTTTTAACTCCTACAGTATAGCAGAGACAAAATGTCAGGATACAGAAACAGAGTGAAGCTGTAATTAGGAAAATTTTTTCAATTCTCTCCACAATTCAGCAGTGCAGTTTTTATAAGGGACAACCACAAGTGCCCTCTCCTGCATAGTGCTGGATCCCCATAACCA